TCCACGTGGTGCACTCTGGGCAACGTATACTCATGCGACAAAAAAGTCTATTAACCGGCATTTGACTTCTAACTTCAAACTACCACAACCCCCCTAGTTGTCATATTCGACCCCTTCCACAGTACTCACCTTACCTTTTTCTCTACCTTTGTGTCTGCCTGCCTCTTTTACATTTATGAATCGCTCTTCTGTCCCCCACCCCTCGACTTTCTGCTACTTTGATAAACCTTCCCTCTGTGAAGCCCGAAGTCAGCTAAATGGCTAATGATATCTATCAAAACGCCTGCCATTTGAAATAAATAAATAATAATATTTATTTTTCCAAGAAAGATCGATTGCTCGGAAATTTTGGCATTACAAAATTTGACTAAAGCCTACTTGTAAGTGCTAGGATTTGCACCTGGGATTTGTGGGTATTTTGAAGGCCAAATCAGGTCATAATGACCATGCAATGCCACCAATGTCAAGGTTTGTTCTATCGACTAATGCATTCATAAATGAGATTATGCCCACGGAAATTGAATTCTCAATTAGTCATGCTAGATAGGTTTATTTGGGCACTTATACAGTATAGATCAGGTGAATATTATTTCAACTTAGCAAAGCCTCACATCCCTACAATAATTTTCCTACCTTTTGGCAAAGATTATCTTGCATCATAATTCTGGAGAAGGCGATTCAACGTGGCTAGGCACACCGAGGTTCATTTAAGCCAAATTCGAATAATAAAGGCTTTGCTGGCTTATAGCAATGCGTTCTGCTATTACTCACAGGTAATAAACTATTACCAATGTCAAAACAGCAACACGTTCCGATTCAATCATAATTGTAAGAATTCTGGCAGTTAATTCTGCACGTACAAGTCAATACTCTTAAAAGGCAAAATCCCTAGTTCAATTCATTAGTTCAACTAACCAATGATAAAGGGGATCAGATTTATATTTTAAATAATTGTTGATCTCTGCGATTGATTGAACGCACATATAGCACACACGAATGACCTCTATTTTACTTAGAAAATTTCTTAAACGTCATCACGAGTGATATATTAATAATATTATATCTATGCTGTTGTAGTAGCAATCCTGTCAAGGTCACCAACTGTCAACTAGCAGCAATTTTAGACATCAAACGCTGTGAAGACAAACCGTACTGAGCTTACAATGATGAGGATTCATTTAAGTGATAAACATATACCTGCCTCCCCCTCCCAAACATAAAAAGCGTTTTCACATGCATGGAAATAGGGGAACACAAGCACTGCATTAACTATGGGGTTTGGAATACAATGCTCTCCTTGTCATACTTTTTTGGGCATGTGTTTCCATTCGGATTTCACCTAATATTTATCCCTTTCTACCTATTCGTGTTCACCAAATTGAAAATCACCAAAGCTAGCAATAAAGATTACAGAATTAGTTCAATTTTAGCAGATGCTGACCAAATATAGCTAAGGTAATATTCGAATTCAAACGGATGATCTTCAGCTGAAACATACAACGATGGTAGATGGAAATCAATCAATAGAAGCAGTCTTAAGAAGGAAAAGAAATTCAAGGTGCTTAAAGGTAGTTTCGGATACCTCCGGGCGAAATTCGCGAAACACATTCAGTGTACACTGAATGACCAAACATAAGATTTCTTTGTTCTCAACTGGAAATGAAAAACTGATGAACAAGGTGAACAGCCACTTACGAAGAAAGAAAGCATACACTGGTATATATTTTTTTGCTGAAAACTAGTGCTTAAGGAACAAATCTTCTCTTTGGCAAAAAGGAGCATTATAGATAAACATAAGAATTTAACTCCGCAGAACTGAAATAGTTTGCGCATTAAAACATGAAAAAACTTGATTGATCGCACAAGCGACCGGCGTAGTTAGAAAGATACCAGGGCAAACGCTTTAACCAAGTTAAGGTCAACGGTGGTGTCTCTAAAAAAACTCACAAATTGAAATCGTACTACATAAAGGGTACTGAAAAATTATCAGTAGGAATTATATACACCAAAAAATAAATGTAAAAAAGAAATACTTCAGCATCTTCTGTAATTAAAACAAATGAGAAACTATTACGGGCCAACCTTATGAACCTTGACTAGATCGAGTCAATTGGATGGGGAAGAGGAGGACTCGTATTTCTTTGAAGATAGTTGAATGTGAAATGGGAAACGGAATTAGAGATTATAAATTACAAATTGGTGAGGAGATTCGACAATTAAATGTACAAATACAGGCATCAAAGGCTAGGCTGCAATGGAGAAAACAAGCTTTTCAGGGAAAAGCAGGTTTCAGCAGCAAACAAAATTATTTGGAAAATGTTCAAGGTAAAATCCACCAACCACTTGCAGGAATTAATATTTAAAACGAAAAAGCAAAATATTAACCGGAATTCAGTTTTGGATCTTCGATGAAGACGGGGAAAGAGCATCGTTAAGAAGAATTAAAGGAGTTTCATTTTCAGTCTCTCTTCGAATTTTGAGTAAATTGGATAGCTTATGAGTGGAGTTAAGGAGGTTAACGCGACGATTAGCGAGTTCAATGACAAACCGCAGACTTCTGCGGAAATCCAACTGAGATTGCTTCAATTCAGAAGGAACAAGGACTCCACAAAACCAGTGAATTGGATCAGAGACTTTGTGATCCGACGACTTGGATGCTTCAGAACTGGAGGCACGGCTTTCAAAACTGGCTAGATCGTCAACTAACTCGAAGTTAGCTGAATCGTCTATATGCACGCGTGCGGTGGCACCTTGGGTTGACATCTCCGCCAGGTTGTAGGATATGTGGGAAATATTAGCAGAAACACCAATTGAGCTACATCTCGTTTTAGCAAGTAAAATGCGGCCACGCTCTAAAAGAAACTTACAAGTAAATCATAAATATCACAAATAAAACACTCTTGTTAAGTAATAATAAAATTGATTCCAAAAAAATAGAGCAACCAGACTTACTAAGAGAATTTTCGAGATGATGATAAATGTCTATATAAGCAGAAAGATTCGCCATATGCTCCAAAAGCACATGGTCGATCTCAGCGTCTGTAGGAGAAACGCAAGTCATCTTCGAACGGCGCAAACGAGACTCAGTTAGCTAAAACATATAATTTTAAGCAATCAAATAATTACAATGTAAGAAGTTCAAATTACCCAAATATTTGAAGGCCCAATTGAATTAAAAAAATAACCGAAGTCCTGAAATAATCATTATGTTATTTGTCTGAAATATTTCTGCATTAAAAGCAATACGCATAAAATTTCAATTTGCACTTACTAATCTTTGAATTATTTCACAATTTAAGAAATTGCTTTATTTGATTTGTTTATTTCGATTATTATAAGTCATTACACAAGGGCGTCTTAACAAAGTGGTTTTAGCTCTTAAATTTATTTGGCGTATGAAAACTAAGTAAATAAGTTGAGAACTTCACAAAACTCACTTTTTTCTATCGTAAACTTTTTAACATTGCACATACATTTAAAACCTAAATTGTTTTTCATTAGCTTGTTAATATATTCGCCCCCCTGTAAAGTTTTGTCACAATGTTTAATTTTTGCTCAAGTGTTGTGCTGCAAAATTCGCTTACCAGGTAGAGGTGATAGTGATATTTGATCAGACATGTCAAATAAATGACATACATTTTTTGGTTAATCATGTTTTTATTCATACACTATTCAAGCGTGAAAGCATACAGTTATTGATTATTAGTGGCTTACCTACTACAAATTTAAAATGAATTACTTGAATTTGAAAACCTATGTTAATTTTCTACGCCAACAATTTTTTATATATGGTAAGCGCAATTGCTCGTGGAGGTAAATTTCTAATGTGAACAAAAGGGCTCATTTGCTTTAAAGCTTTAGACGCCGGAAATAGCAAGATCGAAAAATGAAATAACTATTCTTAACTCCTTAAGTTATGTATCAAAACGATAAGAAACAGCAACATTTTGAATTATAATGGGGTTTCGTTTATAAGGGATTAATAAGTAGTTTTAAGTGACCTAGTAATTGAACAATACAAATGGAACCATTTTGATTCTCTCGATCGCTTAAGGCGTCTTCGACCTTTTCATCTTGTCTGATAAGCCTTTGAGTATTTTAAGTGTCATATGCCGTTCTCTGTGTTTTATCACTCTTTTTTGACTATGCCGGATTATGGTGAAAATGCTCAATTACGTGACCAGAAAATTAAGGTGTATTCATTCGAACCTTTTAGAACAATAAAAAAACAATGAAACAAATTTTTATGATATGACCAGGATCAAGCGTTACTATGATAGGAATTTACGTTACAACCATCCTGCTAATTACTGGAACCGATTTCATTTGATAAGTTTCAATAACCATTCTTTCGTTGCTCACTTTACAATATACTCCTTTTTAATTCAGCGGGTTTCCTTTTAACTTCGTATGCTTCATTGATTTAACCCTTAGCTGGCTGCCTTGCAACTATTCCAGCTATTTTTCCCAAAAATATCTAAATCTCTAACATCAGAGGTCAGGTCTCTCAATTGATAGCCCCTCTTATCTTCCATATTTAAGATCCTATATTTACCCTTGTCCCTCTTCTAAATCCCAATTAAATAATTCACATAATTCCCACTTCTTCGTTCTCAAACTCACATAAAAGTGAAATACAATTTCTAATTTTCTTTTTTGTGGGATTCCTATAATTCCTCTAAGATAAAAAAAACAACAATTTTGCACAATCATACTTATTACTTTCTGACAAATAATTAGTCAATTGGGAATAGTCGAGGCGCTTGATAATGAACGTTGTGAGAGCAAAAATGTATCCATTTACCACCAAGATTTTGGGCGTTAGCTTCCTTTTCATTCAAGTCATAAAAATATTCTTTCCTAAAAGGGGATATGAACATTTATCATCAAAGCAAAATAACTGTATGAAAAAAGAATTACTAGTTCGATATTTATTTATATTGCAAATAAGGGAAACAGAGGCAGGAGAATTATAGTTCCTCAACATAGGGTTTACCCAAGCTGGTGACTATTCTTAGTAGGCTCGAAAATTATTACTTTAATAAATTTATTTATTTATTTCAAATGGCAGGCGTTTTGATAGATATCACTAGCCCTTTAGTTGACTTCGGGCTTCACAGAGGGAAGGTTCATCAAAGTAGCAGAAAGTCGAGGAGTGGGGAACAGAAGAGCGATTCACAGATGTAAAAGAGGCAGACAGACACCAAGATAGAGAAAAAAGTAAGGTGAGTATTGTGAAAGGGGTCGAATATGACAAGCCGTATGAGTATATGTTGCCCAGGGTGCACCACGGGGAGGTAAGTCTATCGCACACCCCACTTTAATAAATAAGAAGGTTTAATCCCAATCTGACAGAATACGTGTTAACGGCCTTCAAAAAGGCCTTTACATATACGAACTGAGTCTGGTTTTAATGGAACTAACAAATTTAGTGAATTATGTACAGCAAACATACTTCCATTTTTACGATATTCTTCTGTTGAATGATGGGGAAAATAATTAAATATGTATTTATTTTGTGATTACTGTACCAGGCAATTGGCAGATGAATTATTTAAATGTACCATTTGCAAGCAGCTGATTGGCACCAACTTCTGGAGTCTAAGTTCTTTAGCAGTCAGAAGTTTTCGTTGAATTGAGAAAAAAAATATGATTGTAATAGAACTCGGAAATATAAACACTGACTTTAAGAGGGGTAAAAGTACAACCACTATCTCAGAGTAGAAGGATTACTTTCGATCTTCAACTCAAGAATGTCCGTTTTCAATGGCATCTTTGCAGAATTCTCTGATGTCAAGGTCGAAACATTCAAACCCCGCCTCCACGTCTACTCAGTAAATTCTAACGTAGAAGCATTGACCAAAACATTTTAATTCCATGAAATAAAGCCTGGATTTGAGGGATTTAGAACAGTGACGCAAATCACAACTTAGCATTGCGACCAATTAAATTCCTCATCGTGAGAGTCAATTTCGAAGCCTAAAATGCAACACTATGGCAGGGTGTGTCTGTGGATTGAACAAGTCACGTTTTCTCATCTCTTCATACTTAATGAAGGGTAAGATTATTATTGGCCATTGGATTTCATATTTATCTTTTGAGGTATGGACAAGCAGAAGAATTAACGGACTTTTATCTTCTGTTTAAAGGGGGTGCGCGATAGGTTTACCTCCACGTGGTGCACCCTGGGCAACGCATACTCATACGGTAAAAAATCTAGAACCTTTTTTTCTCTACCTTTGTGTCTACCTGTGTCTTTTATATCTGTGAATCTCCCTTTTGCCCCCCCCCCCCCTCCCTCCCTCTCGACTTTTTGTGACTTTGCCTGTTCCTCCCCTCTGTGAAGCCCGAAGTCACCTAAAGGACGGATGATAACTATCAAAACCCCTGCCATTTGAAACAAATGAATAAATCTTCAGTTTATATTGCTCGACAACAGAATGAATGAAATCAGATACAGACAGTAGTAGCCCGATTGGTAGAAGGGAACTGCACATTTTCGATTTAATTTAAATGAGTGCTACTGCAGGAAAATATTCTTCTCCATTTCCAACCTAAATTCCGCTAAAATTGGTGTATGTCTCGCACAGATATCAGAATATTGCGGATTTTAAAATCACAATATATTCTTCGAGCCAAAGGCATGAAGTATATACAATTTTAACAATGAGCACTGTTCTCTTGAGTTTAAAAGGCTAATTGAATAAGAAATTCCGAATAGCTCTTGCAGTGGTAGCGTCTGCATCCCAAGTATTTTGTCTTGTTCCTGTCATACGGTCTGAATGAGGGTGAAATAGTAAGAATGATGGTGCTAAATTAGGTAATTAATTTATTTATATCAAATGGCAGGCGTTTTGATAGTTATCATTAGCCCTTTAGTTGACTTCAGGCTTCACAGAGGGGAGAAGGAACATCGAAGGGAAAAAAATTCGAGAGGGGTTGGGGGGGGGAGGAAAGATAAGTGTGGTTCAAAGAAGTAAAAGAGGCAGACACAAAGGTAGAAAAAGGTGTGATGAGTACTGTGAAAGCAGTCGAATATGACATATAGTGGGGTGATGGTAATCTGAAGTGAGAAGTCAACTGCCGGTTAATAGACTTTTTTTGCCGTATGAGAATGCGTTGCCTAGGGTGCACCACATGGAGGTAAGTCTATCCCGCACCCCGTACTAAATTAGGTAATAGTGGGTATCAAAGAAACTCGCGCTCTTACCATAAATTAGCCCATCCCGATAGGCGGTTTTCACCAATTCCGACAATTTCGTGGGGAGTTTCACGAAGTTTTCTTTCCCCCTATTTTATTGTTGTCTTTTAATTGAACGCACTTTCATATCCTCCAACCACTTTGCTTGTGAACGACTTCCCAACCACACATATCCGCCTCCCTGCCACGGGCTATTTGCTCCTTCCTCCCAGTAAATGTGC